GGAGGAATATTGACACGTTTTTTGTGGACTTTTATGGACCTTTCTGCCTCGGGCGCCATAGACCTCCATTATTTGGGGGGTGAGTAGAAAATGAAGGCTAATCATGTTTTGGGTGTACTATTCCTTTAAGAGATCGTAAAAAGAAACATGGTTATAATGAACCTTCTCATGAGCAGTCAGTCTATCAAAATCACTCCAAGAGTTCAACAACTAACTCATCCAACTCATAACATCTAATATAAAATCAACTCAGCATTTTAGGCAGAAAAGAGGTGATGGTGGTAGTGTTGGGGTGTGGGAAGTGATTTTTGGATTCCTCAAAATATACAAAGTGAAAAGTTCTAGTGGCCTAGTCAAAGTTCAGACTTTTATTTAACATATATGCTGTTGTATGACAATGTAAATGCCCTTTATGCTTTACAGCCTTCCCATGTGGCTGAATGAAAGCAATAAAAGTGAAAATTCCAGACATGGACATTGGAAGCCAATAAAAGAACCCAGGGACAAATGTAGACAAACTGGGGGCTTGAAATGTAGAGAAAACAGGTGCAGACTGTGGGCTAAATGAGAAGACACAAGTGAATGGGATATATGCAGGTAGAGGGAGGGAGATAAACTGTGGCAGACAAGGAAAAAAACTAACAGAACATATCTACATCCACAAACTAAATAAATGGATAAATAAACAATGGAATAAACTAAAATGGAAACACTAAGATTTAAACATCTCAGCATCAAATGAATCCATTCATACATTTGGCATAATGTTTTTAAAACCTTTATTGATTCTAACCAACAATTACAGTTTTTAGCCTAAAAATGCCTCCATAAAACAGACCGGAACAGTAAACAAGATTCAGGGTTTTGTTTTTTAATGAACTGAACTGGATTTGGTTATAACCACTGGCTGTATTGTATAAGTATGCATTCCCACAACTGTATGCACAAGCAGAGCTCCCTGCCTTTGTTAGATCCTTGTCGTATAAAGGTCTGTTTATACAGACAAACCTCGTTTCAGCATGCAATCCCAGTAACATCCTAATGTGCAGGAGAGAGGCCATTATGTTAAACTGTGTGCATGTTGGGGTATGTTTAGGTCATGCTTGATTTCACGCAGAAATGTCCAGCCTTATATGAACCTGCTGTAAAACAAAAAACATCCTCCTCTTTGTGCCTCGCTCTATGCCTCCACATGTCCTCTCAGGTAAACATCCTCCCATGTCTCTGTCCTGCAGGAATGTCCCACTGTGTTAATGTTCTAGATCAGAACGGGAGAAGGTCTGCTGACCCTGATAAGAGCACCAGCCCGCCTCACGTTGGGTCTGATTTTTTTTTTCTGTATATAGAGTGTATGTAGGTCTTTTACTGCTGGAAGTTAATGGTTTTAGCTCCATGGTGAACAAATGTTCTTGTCAGGTTGCAGGGCTGGAGACAAAAGCAATGGACTGATTTATGTTTCTGACTGTTCCAGTACTTCTTTCTGCACTGTAATGTGCGTAACTGATGTGATTATTCAATCAAAATCAGCCAGAACCGTGTTATTGCAAGGTTTACTCACTCAATCAGTGTTTTAAAGGCTTTAATATTTTTTTAGGATTACTATGAATAATGCAGCTCCTTGCCAAAATGGTTTTCACCTGCAGAACATTTCTGTTGAACTTCTCAATCTGTACAAGAATATTAAAGTGGGACACACACCCTTTACTGTTAAACCCTTAAATCCAGTGTAACACAACCAGAAGTCCCTTAAGTTTTTGAGTCTCAGTCTTAAAAGAGCTGTTTTGTGAAAGCTCCAGAGGTTCACCCAAAAAGCTGCTCAATCCATCTCCTGGCCTAGCAAAAAAAATGGTAAGAACTGCAAACCTGCAGGTATCTCTGCAGCTGCATTGATCTGCAGTAGAGCTGTGCAGTATACCGGAATCTTTTCATCGTTGCAGTATGTGCTTTGTAATGAAACCAGGATAAAAGCAAACCATTTACAACTCTTAAGAACTCTATATTTTTTTGTACATTCCAATTAAAGATTTGAGTTCTCATAATCTTGAGGATTTGCAATAAAAGTTTTCAACTTTTTTTCAAGTCATATAATCAAATTAGACACATTTTCCATACAACCAGGACCAGTGTTAGCGAGAAAGGTAGCTGATGAAAAAAAGATGCAAGAAGTCAATTCTAAATGATTTCACAACAGATGGGAAGATGTTTCCCGGCATGCATGCAGAATTATATGTGCAGCAGAAAAAAATAAATAAAAAAAGCTACAAATCACCTTGAACACACCATCTCCACAATCAAAACATGATGGTAGCAACCTGGGAGTGGAGGGGAGCAGATCAAAGCATTTATTTTGGTGCAAGGGTTATTGCGTTACATCCAAAATAAAATACTGCTGCTATGGACTTTTAATCAACCAACCACACACAGTTGGTTCCAAAGATTAGTTTCTTTCTTTGTTATTTTCTTGTTCGGTAAAGATCTTATCGGACCCCATGGATTGGATGGAATGAACAACATCGTTAAAGCTGAGTAATTGCACCGGTCTTATCTGTCGCTGGGTGCTTTTTCTAGGTAACTGGTTTTTAGACACTAAGAGAAAGTCATTTGTTTTGCTGCAAAGGAAGGAAGCAAAACTATGTGTAACATTCCCAGGAAATTTAATGCAATATATTTTTTCTCTATGGCTTTTCTTTGTTTATGTCTTTGTTATAAGCTTGCATACAGCAGTCAATGCAGAAGTTGCAACACTAACTTAAAACTGCAGGTTTGTTTGGTTTATATTTGCCTAAAAAAATAAACCAGTTTGCTGGATGTTTATACTGAAGGAGCAAAGTGTGGAGGAAGAAGGAATCTGACCAGAGGAAGGCAGGTCACCAGGATACCACGAAGAACATAAGCTTTTTACCTTTTTATCCATCAGTATTTATAATTCAGTATGTCATATCTATATTTTGTTTGAATTAAAATGGTGCACTTTTAGCTTGTTTATAATGCACTTTTGACTGTTTAAGAACTTCTATTTACTAATACATTGCATCCTGGGGTACAAACGGAACATGACAGAGACCTATTTCTTCAAGATGCTTTTACAACCAGAGAATAACAATATTAAAAAATATAAAAGTTAAAGCTTTTTAAGGATCTATATTTATTTGGAAAATAATAAAGGATAACAGTGTCACCAAACACTGTTAACTGCCAGGTATGTGCAACTTAATAGTGAAACATTCATCAATTATTCCACATCTGTTTCCACGTTTGCCGCAACAATTAAAGTTAATTTACGGTGTTAAACTACAAAATAAACCTCTGCTGATTTACATATAAACAGGACTCAGTCAAGGTATCAAGAGGTGAAGGAAACATAATCAGGGAGGCTGACAGCCACATTGAAGGAGCTGCAGGAATTTCCACTTCAGGCTGGGTTTTACATCTGTATCCTCCAGATGTCTGGATAACAACAGAGAAGGGCTGCAGAAAAAAAATCTGTTTCTTCCCTCGAATGATGTAAATATTATGGAATCAAGTTATGGTCTGATTAAAGTTTTACATTTGCCAAATGAATGTCATAACAGTAATAAAATGTTGTAGTGGCCTTTCCGTGTTCTGGGATATTTTTCTTTGATGGAATTGATGCTTTTATTATTACGTCACATTACTTAAGAGTATTTGAAAAGATTCCTGTACTTCTTTGACTCATTTGTGCCGAGAAAACAACGTACTGTGTGGTGTTACTCTGTTGTTACGCAGGTTTCCCGAAACAGTGAACGCACCATCTGGAAAGACGCAGTTGCTATCTGATTGGGCTCATTAGCGCCACCTGTGGATTTTGGGAGTATCTACAGAGGGGGAGAAGGTTGAGAGAAATGCCGAAGAGACAATAAACTGAAAAGTACCTCACAACTCGAAACAGCTTGACCTGAATACCTCAAATTGGTAAGGACACTTAATCCTCTGTGGAAATGAGTCAACGGTCGCCATAATAAGTGCTATCCGAATAGTGTTTATCCGTTAGGGAGCTAGGACATGGCGCCAAATCAGTTAGCATAGGGAGCTCCTGACTGCCATTGTTTCTACAAAAACTACAAAAGAAATAAAAAGCCTCATATTTAAATTTGATTTGGAAAAATAAAGGTCATCATATAATATATGTTGACAGAGTTAAAAGTTTCAAAGATGGAATAAAAGCTAGATTTTAATGCTATTAATTGCTTGTTAAAGCTACGACCTCTATATTTAAATTAGGATGTCATTTTGAGATTTTTAGATTAGCTTTAAAACTTTTTATTTTTCTTTAAAAATATTTATAAACATAATTGTAGACAAAGTAATTCTCATTATGAAACAGCAGGGTAAATCTAAGAGACGAAATGAAATATTTATGAAAGAATGGATGAAAAATAAAATATGGTCTTTGTTAAATATCAAAGGAGAAAACTTAAATTATAAGGAATTTAGCAAGAAATGTAGTTTATTTATATTGCTTGAGCGTTACCAAAATGTTATCAACTATATTCCAACTGCTATTTAAGGTTAAAAATGTATAAAAAAAAAAAAAAAAATAAAAAAAAAAGAAGCAAATTCCTGAAATTTCCATTTTTTACAAAACATCTGTTCTTTGAAATTTAGGCAGCGCAAGTCTTATGGAAGGAAATTGGTGGGTGTCAAAGTCTTAAAA